TTTTTTTTTTTTGGTTTCTGACACTATATAGCATGATTAAACATTCCCTGGTTCAAACTGACCCAAGAACATTATTGCTGCTCCTCAGAAACCAACACAACAGGAGGGTTAAGGACACGGGACCTTAAAGTGTCCGTATTTATTTACCAGCAGCACATCAGTCAGCACATCGCSAAATATTGTTCTGTTCATCCTTCGTCTAATTCCTAGAACAGATAAACATTACTGTTGTTTGTCTTGCATCCCTCACTTTCTGTCTTTCCCCAGCCTCAGTCCCTGACGGAAGGAGCGGGCTCGTACTACCACCTGACCCACAGCGAACTGATCGCCCTGCTGGTGCAGCGCGAGGCCGATCTGGAGAGGCAGAAGGCGGAGTTTGAGCGTCAGAAACTTTTGCTGGCCAAGAGGGAGGTGGAGCTGAAGAGGCTGAAGCCACAGATCAAAGACCTGGAGGACTACATCGACACGCTGCTGGTGCGCATCATGGAGCAGAAGCCGACGCTTCTGCAAGTGCGCTCCAAGTTCAAGTAAAGCCAACCGAGGAGCAGCGGCTCAGTTTGCGTCTGTTCACTCAAAAACCTCCACAAAAAGCTCTTTAGTCTTTTCACTGTTAATGCCATCCTTTTTGATACAAACATTTAAGGCACTGAGAGATGTCGAGTTGAACTTTTTCTAGTCGGCATGCTTTACTATTTGGAGACACGTCTTTTAAAGTCAGGTTGGGTTGGGGTGGGTTTGAATGTAGCTCGTCCTCAGGTTGTCTTCAGGTTCACAAAGCCAGTTGGTGGGTTCCAAACCCAAATGCTTCCATTTGGGATCCTGATTGTAAAAACACCGAGTCCTATTTTTCACTTCACGCATCACTTTGATCACCTCGGCGTAAAACTGAAGTTGTAGATGTTGATCCAGCATGAATGACCACTTTCTGAAAGTGTCACAGCTGTGTAGCAAGAAGTGAGTTAGTGCTTGAGGAGTGAATATTCCTTTTTATTTTGTCCAATATCTGTAAACTGTCACATCAGTGCCAGTTGTTCTTTACACAAACCTGTCAGATTTTTATATTTATTTCCCTTTAAGAAAGACAGATCCTGTCGGTTTTATCGAGTGCCTAGAATTTACCTGCAAATTCCTTAATTGTCATCTATAAAACCCCAAATGGAATGTGACGTACAACAGATGAGTTAATGAAAGGATTGTCTTGTGGTTTTTATAGTGATTTCTTGTCAAATACTTACCAAAAGTGCTTTATCACTGGTAACATCAGAGCACAGCGTGTTAATAAAAGGGCAGAAGTCTTTGACCAGGCTAGGCTAATGGCTAGTCAAATGAAAGCCATTTTAATCTGTTATCAAACAATTCTTTCTCCAAAATGACAAACTGGTGGGAAAAAAGCTACATCAGCCAATATTAATCCTCTACAGCTGGGATATCAAACTCAGTTGCACAAGGGGGGGGGAAAACTTTCAAAGGGCCAATTACTGTTAGTTATTATTGGAAAAATGTTATATATTGAGTCAAAAGTCACAGAACATCCTTCTATTTTCATCCAATATGGCGGCTTTCAAGGTAGCAGCCATGTTCTGGACAAGATAGGCCCCTCTCATTACTTCATGGGACATTCAGATATTTCATTTTACTTTTTTTCTTAAACAAAATGTTGTCTTAAGACTTTTGACTGTTGTTGTGTGGCTTTTGACTCACCCTGTATAACAAACTAATCTTATAGAAATACAAATGACCCTTTCCAAATGATATTTTATGTAGCATTTACAACATACATAACAGATAAAGAGATAAGACTAAATTTAGAAAGACACTTCATTAGCACCCATTTCTCTGTCAACATGTTTTCAGTTTATTATTTCTTAGATAAATTTTCTATCTCTAAGAAATAATGAATGAAAAAGATACATTTCATCACAATCCAGCAAATCAATAAAAAATATAACCCCCCACTAAACATCCAGTTATTTGACTTCAAACAGGAAGAGAATACTGGAAAAGAATAAAATCTGATTCACTGTTGCTCTTTCCACACCAAAAATCAAAGATCACTGAAAAACTCAAACTTGGTGTTCGTGCAGGGCTGATAGCACGTCGGTGCTGTGCCCAATCTCCAGTGTACCTGCAGAGAACACAAAAACAATTGGTAGGCAGGGTGCTCGGTTCTGTTACAGGGTGGGGCGCCTTCCTTGGAGAAGGAAGAGTGGAGGAGGTGGATAGTGAAATTCCTTTGGGAGCTGCTGAATGGGCTTACTAGGCCCAGGGGTCTGAGAGCTCAGGGGGTCCTGAAAGCCTGAGGCTCTGTCAGAGAATCTCCTGTGCTTACATTGAGTTTGCTCATCTTCTGTCTGAATGTTGTCCATTTTATATTCACAAAATTCACCAGAATCTTTATCAAACAGGCACACTCTGACCCCTCTATGGATGACCACCCATGTGGAAGACAGACGTGTCAGATCTGGTGTCAAGCTGGCTGACTGCTGCCATACAAGTGGTTGGTCCGATGTGGGTCAGGTCTGGCGATGATGGCCCTGTTTTTTAAGATGGCATGCCACAACTGGCCCTGTTAATGCACATGAAAAAGGATTAGGGCCACTGAAAATGAATAAATAAATAAATAAAAAGAATTTGGACTTTAATATCGAATTAGGAAAAAGTCATATGGTTAACCCAGATGTTTACACAACAAACTAAACGAACTGTGTCAAGCAATAGTGCCCAGGTTTAACATTAGCTAATGTGGTGCTTTCTTATACCAGCATGTCACTATTGAGAGAGAACTGAAAAATGATCAAATGCGGGCCCTTATTTGGTTAGCCATTAGCTTAGCCTGGACGAAGACTCCTGCCCTTTTCTTCATTAGGTGCTTTATGGCTGATGTCAACACTGATCCTGTACTATTTGACAGAACATCACTTCAAAGATGACCAGAGCATCCTTTTCGGTTTCAGTTTAAGAACTGTTGGATTGGGTAATTATTTGTACTCTGTTATGTTTTTAATGATYGGGACATAGCCTTTAAGAGGAAGTCCTACCTTCAGCTATTCCATTACACAGTGGAAACACATCACTAACACATAACAAAGGCAGCATAGTGGATATAAGGTCTTTGCAAGTCAAGGCATGACTTCAATGATCCCAAAATGTCTGAGACAATGAAAGTCTTCCTATTCTTAAATCTTCTTCAGACCATGAAGTAAAATCTTGGAAAATGCGCAAAAGCAGTGTTTCTTCTTCTTTTTTATTATTTTAATGTGTGATGTTGTGCTGTTTGATTGGCGTCTCTTTATTTCTGATCCTTTAGAACTGCTTTATGATTGATGCTTAAAGGGATCCACGGTTAGTTGTAACATTAGACTTTATTTGATAAACATATACTTTAACTAAAATAAAGACTGTAAAAATACTGTAAGATGCTCAGTTTTTATCATTTTTAAACTAAAAGTTAAAAAATATATTACACGGATGGGGCCATTTTATTTACACGCAAAGCATTCTGGGTAATTGATGACATCAACTAGGTCATCGATGTGAGGCTGCTAGCGAGCTATATCCACCCTGAAGGATAATCTTGGACAATATCTGATGATCGACTCTTTTAAATGAAACCAGAGAGCGTTGACAGAGAGGAGAAGGTAGAAATGACTCAGCCTGGAACTGAAAATATAGATGGAGGACCTCAGTTTACCTTATTAGTTTGTCGCGTTAGCGCTGAGCTAATACATATAAGACAATATAGTGTCAGCGCTAGCGCAAAGGCTAACAGG